TCACGAATGAACCGCCACTTTTCTAAATCGTGCTTTCCGGTCTCTTGAACATCGTTAGAAGCATGTTCTGGCACGCCATGTATGAAGACTGTGTTTAGGCGGTCTTGCTTGCTGTGCCCCTCTTCGGTGTTTCGTGTTGGTTGTCGCTCGCTCCAAGGGACATCAGGATAGATACGTATCCCACAGGATTCGTGTTTTAGCGCGCTTGCGGAGAGTAAAACGTTTTCTACGTCGGTGGAGGATTCTAGAGTTACTCGAATAAGTCTGGGTTCACCATAGTGTGGCGAGTTCGGATGACGAGTAATTCGTAACAAGTTTATGGGCTTGGCTTTGATACTCATCTGCATACACAATGAGTTCTATTGGTCTTGGTCGTCTGATAACTTATCCCGCAATGTGATGGCGGTAGATTCAGGGACATTTGAGCATACAACAGTCCGGGCACTGTTATTGGATCCCTTTTTCATCGATCTACAAGGTATGGTACTCATTTGTCCTGACTTGATGACAAGTGATTGTTTGCTCTTTTTCTTGCTATTTGCGTTAACGGTGTTTACAATGGAAGAGGACGCAACGGTGGCCTCTCGGTGGACACTTGCAGCAATCTCTGCATATGTAACCGATGTTCTGGGAGGCTTAGTCTCGACAAGTGATATTTGAGCTACAGGTAACAAGGGTTGGTGTTTGGCTGCTTCATCCTTGTTAATACTAGATGTCAGGTCTAGTGGAATTTGCTTAACAAGGCGTTTTGAATGGCTCCTGATTTTCGTTGCTGTGAGTACTGTTTGATTCACGTAGGTACAGTCTGTTTTCGCCCGGCGTTCTACCAAAGTTGGAGAAGACAACGGAGATGGAGAGGTGGCTGATTGCGGTGCAGGGGAAGCGGATTGTTCAGCATTCCGTTGCTTAGCAGCCGCTACGCTTCTGTGGTCCATACTCGCTCCCATTGAAGTAATCTTATTGTTTATCCTCTGCTCTACATCTGCGATTAACCGGTCGCATTTCTCAGCTAGGATAAGCAAGCACTCAAGGAGAGGGATGGTGGAACACGCAGTACAGAACCAAAATGCATCTTGGGAGCTACTTCGCTCCCGTAACTGTTGTTGGGACACATTTACACATTTCGTATGGTACCATTCCAAACAGTGCGAACAAGCTAGACCGATTTTTACTACCCGGTGACATTCTCCTAACCCGCAAATGCCTTTCGATGGGAGTCGCTTCGGTTTCGCCTTTCTGCCATTCAATTTGGTGTCGTTACCTGACCCAGTGGGTTGGTTAGCGTTCTGTACTTTTACAGCTTTGAGAGCGGCGCACATCGGTCAGGCGAGCGTAGTGGTTGCAAGGTCAAATGAGCGGTCGGCGTGGTCGCGGTCCGTGTGATGGGTAATGCAGCCGCACTGGCTGACAAGGTCACAAGGAATGGCGAGTGACTGCAACCTGAACAGAGCGCTGAACACAGATTCTTTCACAGCTGTGTTGAGAAACGCTGGATCGGAGTAAGCTTAGGCTTTTCGGCCTGCCTCGAGAATTCTGTATCGAATGGTGTCACACAGAATGGCAATCGGCTCAATACGATTGAATTAAACGCTTGCGCTTAATCACAGATGCCAGTGAAAACGGTTAATGATGGCACAGCCTCTAATCGTAGAAGATATTTCCACCTATGATGGATCACTGTGTAGAGCTGGTAAATCCGGTTCGAATGAGCGTACAGTGACAACGCTGCGAGAAGATGGAGAGAGGATAGAGGGAAATAATCCAAATGAACCAGTAGCACGCACGTCACGCGTGTGTGAGGATGACCTTGCGCAGATAATTCCATTGTAACAGGTTGGATCTTGGTACGACTGGGCCATGAAGTGGGTAAGTACTCCCGGAGCTTTGCAAGGACAGAGTCTTTGTCAGTGTGCTCTCGTATCAGGTCAAATATTATTTTAGGTGTTCCGTCTGAGAGCTGCGATATCAATTTTACCTCCTCTAAGTCCTCCTTTTCTCCTTCGCTGGACAGTGGGAGTCTCGACAGGGCATCTGCACGTTGTTTAATGCACATTGGCACGTAGCTTATTTCATAATCATAGTTCAATAAATGTGAGTACCAGCGACTCAGGCGCATCGGCTTTTGGCCTTTGTTACCGCGACTTAGTAGCGTTATAGGAGCAGAATGATCAGTTCGCAAAGTGAATCGACGTCCGAATATGTAATAGTGCCATTTCTCACATGTCCAGACGCATACGAGTGCCTCCTTCTCGCCGGTGGAATAGTTTCTTTCAGTATCAGACAAGGCGCGCGATGCGTAAGCAATTACTTTCTCCTCTCCACCATGCAGCTGAGACATAACTGTACCCAAGACAACGTCTGAGGCACACGTTGAAACAAACGTTAGACAATGCTCATTGAAGATGTCTACCGTGGGACTGGATTCAATCAACGCTACAATGGCCATGTAAGCATTGTCTTGTTGAGTAGCCCAAAGAAACCCCTGCTTTTGGCGCAACAACCACCGCAACGGCCCAGCAATAGTCGCGAAATTCGGTAAAGGTCGTAGGTACTAAGAACACAAAGCCAAGAAATGTTTCATCTGTGCAACAATGCATGGTTTTGGACAATCGAGAATGGCTCAAATGTTCTGCTTAATACCTGAGGTAGAAATAACATGTCCAATAAACTCGACCTTCGTTACAGTGAATTGACATTTGCTGTTGTTCACTCGGGAATTTACTTCATTCAGTCTATGCAGCACGTTATAAATGTTTCCTGACGTTAGGTGGGGTTACTACCAGACAAAAAATCATGTATATAAACAACACATCCTTTGAGGTCTGATAGCGATGTAGTAATAAATTTCTGCGAAGATGTTGTGGCCCATTGGTGGCACGTTGTATTGATACAAACCGTCTTGCGTGAAGAAAGCAGTCAAATGCCGGCAATCTGGAGTCAGTAGCATGTTGTAGTATGCGCTGCGGATATCCAGCTTTGAGAAACGTTTGGCGTTTGAAAGCTTAACCATCAACTCGCCGAGAGAAAGCAGAGGGAATTTGTCCACAATTATATGGCGATTAAGCGCTCGAAGGTCGGTGCATAGACGAATATAGCCATCTTTCTTTTGAACGGCAACTAGTGCATGAACCCATTCAGAACACTGTATGTGTTCTAACAAGTCTTCGGTGACCATATTTTTCAAAGCTTGCGGCAATGTCTCTCGCTTGGCCAGACCTGGGTTGTGAAATGCTGAACGGTTTTTTAATCATTGCTCAATCGAATGCGGTGCATTGCTTTAGGGACTCTACTAATATCCGAAAGAAAGAGATTTAGGTAACTGGACCGTAACGAATAAAGGTTGACACTGACAATGGTCATCCGGCTGACGCATGGTGATAAGTTCAATAAGACCATGGCATTACGTCCCAAAGGAGGCTTACTATCAGTTTTAGAGATGTAAACTTCAACTATACGCCTCTTGTTGTTTATAAGAAACATTGAGACGGAAACAAAACCGAGTATTTGGACATCACCATTTAAGTAGCTGATGAAAGTGTAAGCAGAAGGATGTACAGTTAACTGACTAAAATGCGGCTTGTAAAAACAATATGACCCAGCTGTGATTGATGACGCGAAATCTAGTTTCATGTTTAGACAAACGGTTTTGTTTCTAACTGCAAAACACACGACGAATATTTGGTGAAGGCAGTTCGTGTTATTGAGTTGGAGACGAAAGTGGATGTTCTCATTCATTAACGACGTATATGAATGGTTCAGTGGTGACCGGAGAACCTCTGGAGTCATTCGGAAAATCAACTAAAGAAATTGCGCGGGAACGATAATCCCGAGCAAAATGATCGGTCTTACCGCAAATTGCACGCTGCAGGACATGACTTATCATTTTCACGATGTTCAGCATTTCCACAATGGTGACATTTTCGGGTTTTTTGGAGCATTTGCCGTGTGTCATGGATTGCGACGCGCAATCTCACTAGTGGCAGCGGTTGACTTGGAATTCAGCCTCTGCCAATACGGTCACTGGGACGGTCACCGAAGTGGAGGGTTTCGGTATGGGTCTCTCTTATCCCTGCACTCCACAAGGTTGTTTATTGAAGGAGCTCCTTCAATAAACAACCTTGCTTTCGAAATTCTGTCAATCAAACGCATGATCACATGACTGGGCCAATGAGTGCCAAATAGAAGTGTGAGTGGGATAAGCGAATCAAGAGCAAAAACAAAGCAGAGTATTTGAACCCAACAGTCCCTGTGGGTGCGCAGGCGCCCTATGGTTGCCTCCATGAAAACCGATTGACGGCCAAATACGGAACCGGATACCGGATGCGTTTAATTTGCTTAACCGCATTTGAACTGGAGAGATTCCCATTTAGCTTTCTCCGTATTGCACGAAACCTGATCTAACACATTGTATTTTATTTTCGCAGTCCTTTTTATCCCCTTCATAATTCATTCATTTCGCATACTTTCTCTCTCTTTTATTTTCGATCTTAGTCGGATGATATCCTCGGATTTACACTTAAACCTGCCGAGGAGGTTAACAATAGCTCAGAATTCATATACCTTTTTGATTTGCTCATTGCTGTCATTCTGCTACACAATTACTGTCCAGTTTGCGTATTTATATGCTTTCACAGTCTATTTACTGAGATGGTGCTTTCAGATTTGCACTGGAATTGGGGTGTGTGGTTGGAGCTGTGGGTAGTGCAGCGCAAGCTACCCATGGTCTATGGGTAGACGCGGGCATCTTGTGGCTGTCCACATGGAGGCCACAGTGACAGGCAAATGCGGAACCGGATACTTCCAACTGTGCAACCGATGGAAGGGGTGTGGTATCTCCTCTAAAATTCACAGGTCACCGGTTCGAATCCGTATAGGTTCAGGCAACCTCGCAGCATGCTTAGTCTACATGCGAATGGTTGTGGTCACGTGGCAGCCAAGCGTTGGCGCTGTGTACCTGCATATTGCTGACGCAAGCTAATTATTTATTTCCCGAAAGAGATCGGTCGCCAGGCTATTCATTTGGAATAGCACTATTCACCAGAACAATCTGCCTTATGTCATGAAAGCAGTTTTCTGTACGCTGGTCCTCAGTTATGCGTCAAATGACCCCATCACGTGAGCAATGTGACTAATCGGGTTTTTTCAAACTAGTTCGAAACACCTGTAGATCGGTCAACACGCACAGGAAATAGTTAATGTTTGGAGAATTAGCCGTCACCCCAAATGACTATACATGATGCGTATGAGAACGTAATAGATCCATATTATGATACAAGAACGTATGCAATAGATTTTGACTATGACTTGCTCGGGAGGCCGATCGCTTGGGATCCTCTTCTTTCAGCCGTCCAGCTATCATGCATTCGAGGTTTTTGCGAGCGATATTCTTGGAGTATTAGTGGCTGTATATTAGGCTTGGCGATACTGATACCTCTGCTACTGGAGACTCTGAAAAAACTACCTTGGATTTTCCTTCAGCTGTGTGCCCAGTGGATGGTGCGGAAAGAACTGAAAAGAGAACAAAGGATATGGGAGCAACGTAAGCGTTTTATGCAACCTGAAGACCATGACAGATATGCAGCCGTGTACTGTCGGTTAGTATCGAGTCAGTTGGGTGTGACAGACTGGCGGCACCCGATACCAAGAGACTTGATAGATTATGAGGCAGTGCGTTTCGTGTTCCAGCAGCCATGGCTAATTGAAAAAACACACAAAGCACTTCAGACGGCTAGTGTTGATCCATCTGTGGAACAATTGGTGGAGGGTGAGCTAGAAGACGCCTTAAAATTGGCTGAAAAGCAAAGACGGCTTGCGAAAAGAAAACAACTCTCGATTCCAGGGAAGATTAGGGCTAGACATATGTTAGCAAAGGGTGAAGATAAAAGTCAGACAGGCTCAGAAATGAGCGCGGAGATGTTACTCCTTCAGGGATGGATGGAGTTATATAAGGCACGTGTTCAGTGGGCAAGGAAGGAGAACTACGCTTGGTGGTTGTCACAAGGAAGAACTCTGCCAGTCGAAGCGTATGAAGCAGTTCAACGTCTTCGGCCGTTGGTTGGTAAAGACAAGAAGGTAAAAGCTGGTTTTGGTGATCAACTCGTGGAAATTGGGGAGGATTTGGTACAGGCCTTTACTCGCCTGCCTCATCAAGAGATTATAGAGGGGATTTCATCGAAACGGAAAACTGGCGCCAAACGAAGCACCCCAACGATAGAAATATCTCCCCCAGAATACCATCGGACTGAAAGGCTGCTCAGTCAGCAACAAGAATCAAACGAAGCAATGATGTTACGTGAGATACTCGGAATGGAACACTTGCACAGAGTGAGATTGAGACGACCCAGGCGGCACTCATCAGTGTATCAACGAAGTAGACGAAAAACGAAGACAAGAGAAAGCAGCATTTTCCGCCGTCCAACGGGGTACTGACTTCATCTTGTTGACTATTCTGAAAGGACACGCATGACTTCCCCGAAACTCGGTAGCACCAACGGAGCAGTTGTACTCAGTAGCGTTGGCAAATTAAAAAAATATTTATCCAGAAATACATTATTACTTCTGCACATCTTCCGGGGGAATGAGAGGAGCTTCTCTACACCAGGCTGAAGCCGGGGTCGCTCCCCGGATTTTGCTTATCCCCATTTGTGGTAACTAATTTCTGAGCTCTTGCATCGTCAAAAAGCGACTGGTAGCTTGCGCTACACCTACCAAAGCTGCAAAATAAGCACTCTATATCAAACACAATCAAAAAAGTGAGGATTTAGTGAGAATACGAGTGAGAGAAGTGTTTGTTTCACAGCCGTCACCACTAGATAAACTAGTACCTTACCCACAGGCAGCTGAGCCTGCACGAGGTGACGCAAGAGCAACGGTAAAGCAAGTGAATTGTGAAATCACCTCATCCCGCCGCATTGTGCGAGTATTTGATGGAATTCTGACCCTCAAGAGATGCTTACCTCTGAGATAGTATTTTAATCCAAGTTAGTGGGAGCACGCACACCAGACGCATAAACTGTAGTTAAACTGGAATAACTTCACGACACAGTATGTTGACAAAGACTCAACTAGAGGCGCACCGACCACTGTATGGATATGTGTGTAATCTCAACAGTTTAGCAACTAGACATGGAGCCAACGAAAACCATGCAGATAAGCGGATAAGAGATCATCGCGTCATAATCATCTTGGCATAGTAGTAGAAGGTAACACACTTCGGCTACTATGTCCCAGGATGAAAGGAACATTTTGACAAAGTAGCACAAAATATGTTTAGTTTGTTTTTGACACGCCGCTTTTCTCTTTTTTTCTTCATGCTCAATGTTTGAAGTATTAAACATGTGAATCAACACAATTCTGTACACAATTCTTCCACTGATTTCGGTTGCGGGCCATGTCTTCAAGAATGTTAAACCATTGGCACTCCTCATCTTTGGGTCCCCATCCTGGAAGACCTGCGGATCCAACAGCGGCCAGACATGACGTCGGCACTTTCATGTACTGTCGCCATGTTGGAGGCTGACTAACACGCGGTCGCTTCCAGCCAGGTCTTTGAGGAGCGAATAGAGCGCGACGCGGTAGACGCTCAGGTGCCATGAGTAGGAAGTGACCTAGCCATCTCAAATGGTACAGCAAAACAAGTTTATTGAAGGGCATACTCACATTCCCCAAGGTGCGAGGTCGAACGTCATTACTATTAACTCGATCTTGCCACCAAACACGAGCGATCCTCCTTAAGCAACCGTTACCGAAGGCAGAAAAATGACGCATGTCTTCCACGAGAATCGGCCAGGACTCGCACCCATACAACAATACTGAGCGAACAGATGAGCTGTAAACGCGGCCCTTTAGCGAGAATGAGACGTCGCGACGACGCACAAGTGTCTCAGACTGGCAAATGCTGATCGAGCTTTAGCGATGCGAAGAAAAACTTCTTTGCTGATAGTGCCGTCAGGAAAAACACAGCTCCCAAGGTAGACGAAATTGTCTACCTGTTCAAGTTGCGCACTTTCGAGGCTGAGCACGGGAGTAGGTAAAAGCCAATTCTTGAGCAGTAATTTACACTTCGATGGGGCGAAGCTTATGCCATACATGCCATACATGCCATACGCTTCAACCGCCAAACGATCCAGAATGAGTTGCATACCTTGCGAATGATCACCAAGTAAGGCGATACAATCAGCATAATCTAAGTCGGTCCCGCGCTCACCCGGTGGAAGCTCTAAGCCAAAATGTTAAAAACCTTCTAAAGCATTCGACAGAACGTCTTCGATTGCGAATTTGAAGAGGAGTGGGGACATAGGGCAGCCCTGTCGCCCATCGCTATTGACAGCGAATAACGAGGAAAGCTTGCGATAGACCCTCACTGTGTAGGAAGTATGAAGATACAGTACTCGTAAGATGGCGGTATATTTCTCTGGCACCCCGTGCTGCAGCAAGAAACGACATGAAGCAGGTCGATCAACGTAATCAAAAGCGGCACGTATGCTTAGGAATGCAACGATAGTGGGCCTGTGATAAATGTGGCGGTGTTCGAGGAGCTGGCGGAGTGTGAAGATTTGATCCGCACATAGGCAGTCAGGACGGAAACCAGCTTGTTCCTCACGGTAGAATAACTTACGTATTGGAGATAGTCTACGGGGCTGAATGGATGCCAATAGCTTGGAGGTAACCGAAATATGACTAATCCCGCCATGATTTACACATGACGTGCGAGCGCCTTACTGGAAAACCGTGACAATAACTGCTACGCCCCAAGAGCAAGTCACTTTCGCTTCATGCCAGCTTTTTATGGACAACGAGGTCAGCTGGCTAGTGATCGTCACGCCGCTGTACTTGAACAGCTCCGGAGGAAGTCCGTCTGAGCCGGCAGTCTTGAAGCTTTTCCGCTTCGCTGGATGGATTCAGGGGGACGAGCCAGGATGGACAAAATGGTGCACTGCATGTATTGATGGACGGTAGAGGCCAGTTAAAGTGTGAGTGCAAGTACTCGACCCAGTGGTCCATACGCTTCTGTTGGTTGGTGATCAGAGACTCATCCTACTCTCAATTGACCTCACTGGCACCAGGCTTCCTGAGGCCAGTGGACCGAATGAGTTAGATCAACTTGCGAGTGTTGTCAGAGAGGACGGCGGTCCCCATCTCTAAAGCACGCTCAGAACACCGTGCTTCGAGATCCTTGCGTAGGCTTTGCTTGAGCATCCGGTTGGCAGAACGGCGCCGCTCGTTGCAGTCTGATTCCGCCTGGATATCTGCGTCCTTCGAACACCTCCAGAGAAGGAGCAGAGATGCAAGCATTTAAGGGGCGTCGACCTAGACAGCAGCTTGACTGTCCGGAAATGGTCATCGCTTTCTGTATACAAGTCCAGTGTTGCTCAACGTCTTGCGGTGGATTGTACCGCAGGGCGTATGCCAGTGAAGACTGATAACTCGTCTGGATAAAAATCAGTTAATCTGTTTACATCAACCTTGCTGTACTTCGTGTTTCGGGACCCCGAAAACACATACAGCTTTTTGCGCAGACCGGTGCATGGCCTGAGTCAAGGAACGTGGACCAAAAGGATCTGCAGTCCAGTACACTACCACGTCTTCTGTAGCTAATTGCAACGTGATCACCTTGAGACCACCGTGGTGTTGGCGAAGGGGATGCCATGTTGCTGAACTCTTCTTCGTACGCCTGAATGGCTTGCGTTGCATTACCCACAGCTCCATTTACACACATAATATCCGGTGTAAACCCGAGAATTAGACTTAAAGGTATGTGGATGGGAGCCACGCTTCATCAACGGAGTCGATCTACAATCCCCTCAAGATGCATACTACTCACATGAAACTGGAGAGACATGCATCGGACATGGATAGGGCGGTGGTTAGGTCGTAATCCATTACCTACTGGATGGAACTGTAAGAACGCGAGATGCATCAACATCATCATCATCATACACGTTAGCTAGAGGTGGGGAACACCTCAGCTACTGTGCCGCAATACATAGAAAAAAGAAGAAAAAAATGCAACTGGTGCAAGCCGTCTGAGCTAACGGTAACGGATGGGCATCGTTCCGGTGAGCTACCAGCTGGCTACTGTGCATCAAAAAAATACCATGCGAAATTATATAAGGTTAATTAATAAGATCGTGGTTGAAGGGGAAGGCTATGAGGGATGGGGTGGGACAAAGAAACTCACGGCACAAACGCCACTGAGGTAGGCTCCTAGCCAAATCAGCAAGTGTGTACAACCAAAAGTGTTCATCGTCTTTCGGACCCCAACCAGGGAGTTGAGAAGTTCTAACCGATGCCAGCTCAGAAGTGAGGGCCTTCATTCCTCTCGACCAAGTCATCGCTTGGCCACCCCTCCTCTTCTTCCATCCACACCCCTGGCGCGCGAACAACGCACGTCGCGGGAGTCGGTGGGGTGGCATGCGTATGCGTGGCCGAGCCATCGGAGCCTGGTGCGTGAAATTACGTTGCTGAGCGGTTCATTTCCTTTTCCCGTGCCATAAACAAGGCACCGAAAACGCTCGTTGCCCATGCGGTGTTCCCACCAGATGTGAGCTAAATTACGAAGGCACAGGTGGTCGAACGTAAATAGCCTCTTTATGTCGGCTGACCTTAGGGACCAGGATTCACAACCGTACAGTAGGGTCGAACGTACTGCTGCATTGTACACTCTACCCTTCAGGGCAAAAGTGATGTCGCGCCGGCGCCATAAGTGGCGAAGGCTAGCAAAAGCGCCCCGAGCATTTGCTATACGGTTCGTGATTTCATCTTCAATCCCACGGGCGCTGATAAAACTTCCCAGGTAGTTAAATTTCCGAACGACTTCTAGGTGATCCCCGCCAAGGGTCAGCGTAGGAGGCGGTCCAGACCAATCTTGGAGGAACGCTTTGCCCTTCGACGGTGCGAAGCAAAGCCCGAAGTGACGGACAGCTAATGCTAATCTGTCCTCGAGGTGCAAGCGGAACTGTTTATTGTTTCAAACATAGCTTATACTAGGCGCATCGGTTCTTATCAAGGAAACATCCATTCAGCTTCACACTCCTTGTTGGAGATCGCGCGGCGCAGGTTTCTTTCTGCGTCTAGTCGTTATGTGACATGCATTGTTTATGCGTCCATTCATCGTGCGTATACAACTGCGGTTCCAAACTGTCCCTTATAATTGGGGAGTCCTTACGACCTGCTGTTGGCTGGTCGTCGTTTCACATCCTAGCACCTCCATACTGCTAACTGGCGCAGTAGAGACTGCCTTCACTCCACCCCACTCCTCCCTCTCCAAGGAGCTCGCCCGAGCTACTTTCGCTCAGAGTCTTTCCGACCTTCCGGTATGCTCCATTTGCTAAATGGTTTACTTCTCTAACTCGTGCCACTTCCTCAACGCAATGGCATGTACTCGCGGTGAATCTCCTTGCCGAACGATTGTACACACTGGACCGACCATTTCGTACGGTCCCTTCCACTTTGGTAGGAGTTTCCTCTCCTCTGGACCACAAGTGGAACGCTTTGCTGGTCCCTATATTTCACCTTTGAACCGATGGGAAAATTGACACTCATCCCAACATTGTTGGTCTGGGACTTCTACATCCTCTGCGCCTGAGTTGCTTTCAGGCTAGGTTGGCTGCCTTCCTGTTACCCTGTGTCTCTTTGAGAGATATTCGGCAAGTTGACCACATTCAAAACTCTAGATCCACAGCTAGGTGACGTGCTTGACCGTACATCAATTAGTATGATGAATTCT